CCGGCGGCCGCCCGGCTCCGACGAAGCGAAGGGCGGAGGGGAGGGGCAGGCAGTGCCCCGGGAGGGAGGCACCCGGACGCAGGCCAAGCCGACCCGGGTGAGTGGGGCCGGGCCGGAGGGAGTCATGGCTCGAGGGAGGGACGCCCGGCTTCCCGGAGCGGCGAGTGGGGTTGGTCACCCGTGGGGGCAGGGAGGAGGGTCGACGCGGCCTCCTGGTCGCTGCCTTTCCTGGGGTCGGCCCCACTGACATACTGTGCCCGCCCCTCGCCTGTCTTCCCCGTCCCCAGCGTCGCTCTCAGGCCCTGCGGGTTCCCGCCGCTGTCACTGCGCGCAGGTTACCCTGTGGCTCCTTTTTCTTCATTTGCTCCTGCCCCAGTTCACGGGAAACCTGTTTTCTGACCTCACTTCCCCGCTCCAGCTCTGCCTCTCTCAGGTTCTCTGAAATCTGAGCCTCTCCAGGGGCACAGTGACAAGGAGGGAAGAAGCAACCTTACTCTAGAACGGGCGCCCGTCCCGCCCAAGCCCCGCCCGGGGCAGGGGCTAGGCTTCTCTGACAGCGCGACTGTCCCTGTGCCCTTGGGCTTCTCATTTCAACAGCATAGCCCTTTCTCTGTCCAACAGCACTCCTGCAGAAACCAACTTCGGCAGGTGCCATGCCCCCCTGGGGAAAAGGGGAAAATGAGAGCCCTAAAACCCTAACTCCTGTAGGCCTGGGATCATCCTGGAACCGGGAGAAACCAGGTTAGAGCTGACACCTTAACTGCCCAGGTGTTGGCTCTGAGAGAGCCAACATCTTAGCAGATACAGTCAGAGGACAACTACCTGCCGCTTCTTGTGCTGAGATTTCTGCTAGCACTTCCACAGGTTTTCTGTCAGTACTATGGACAGGCTCACATCTGGCCTGGGATAGAGGCTTCCTATCAAGGGATTCTGCTGCTAGGGAGATAAAGAAATGGGTTTGAGACAGGTGTCCAGATATTTAACTAGAGATAAAGCCCAGAGGGAGGACTTTTGAAGGGAGCTAGAGAATAAGGAAGACTACTGGTGAAGGGGGGGAATCCATGCTTTACATTTTAAAAGTGAAGTGAATACAGGGGCTGGAATTCAGAATAGAGAGCTAAAATGGAACTTCCCCTTTATTGCTTTGTTGGGAATTTTCCTTTCTCACGAGAAATCTCTGAAAAGGAAACCTCCTAAGCTGGGAATCAGTCCAGAATGCTCCCATGAGGCCCTGAGACATCTTTGGACTTCTGAGATGAAAAGGGAATTTGTTCCCTTCCTGTGCATTGAGTTTAGGGTTTCTACCTACCTCTTTTGTCAAAGACAAATAGCCAAGAAAATAAACAACTTGACATCTGTCATTACCTATCCCGGGCTCCTGGGTTCTTGCAAATGTTATTGGATGGATGCAAGTGAGCCAAGATCATTACCAAGGTTCTGATCTATTGCTGGAAGCCTTTCACTGGCTCTGACTGCTTGCTACTGAATAAGAATCACAAATATATGAAGTTGCCAAGCAAACAGAGACTCTGCACACTTTCATCGACTGTTCCTCTGCTGTAAGGCAGGGAGACCCCTATCACAACACAGGTGAGACCTGTCCTGCTCCTAAGATGTCCAGACAAAAGAGCCCTCAACCAGGTCCTGTGCACTGCAGGATTATTAAAAATTTTTTTTCATCTAATCTAAATCTCTTCTCTTGCAATCAAGAGAAGAGATCTATATAGAAATACAAAACATCTCTCTTTTTATTCATAGTGTCATTCATCAGCCTTCTTCCCTAGGCAAGAGAGAACTATGTCCGTTGTTTTGAACTTTCCCTAATGGCCATAGTCCCCATCCCTTTCTTCACTTTTGTTTATTCTGATGGAATATACTCTGGCTTCATCATACCCTTCTTTAAAATTGAATACATTTTTCTAATGAGATCTAACTGGTGCTGTCCTGTATCTGTGTTTTTTTCCTGTGTCTTAAATCACAGGGCTGTTAATTCACCTCAGGTCATGTTAGCAACAGCTGCTTCCCCTTTTACTAGCTAGTCCAAACCCTTTCTGTTCTTTTTTTCTTTTCCTAATTAGACATCAGTTCCCCACTGACCAGCAGTTTCTCTTACCTGTTTGCAATGCTTTAGAATCTTACACCTACTTTCCAAGTTATTGATCTTTCTACCATATTTACTACCAGTTCTCATTTTCTACGAGAGTGACAGGTTATGTCTTTTTGTCAAGGCTTGCCCTAAGTGAGGCACCATTTGGTTCAGCCTCATAAAAAATATACTTTGTGACTAGGACTTCTACCTCTAGTAATCATTTCATTCTAAACTAATTGATGAGAATGGGATTTGTGGCAGAAAATCTTATGTGTGAGTACATCCATTTTTGTGGAGTGCAAGTCTGTGTGTATTCCTCCCTGCATATTTCCAGATTTCTAACTTTACTGTACTTTCAGTGATTGAAATTAATTCATAGCTTTTGGATTTACAGGATTGTTCTTTCTTTTTTTAATGAAGTTCTTCCAGCCTTCGGGGATATTTTGCTTCTACCATGAGGTCCCCAAAATAACCATTAGTGACTTTGCTATGTAGCACCTCCTCATTTCTGGCTCAGGTTCAGCTGACTGGAACACCTCAAACTTTTAAAGTTCATCTTCCATCAAGCTCCTCTTAACTAGTTTCACCTTTTATCCATGGGCTGTTCTCCATAACTCTCTTAGGAATATCACCCCTTTCCACTTTCACAGAAACTGAATGAAACTAATAACTGATACGAATTTGTTCCAGGTCACAATTTAGGTTTACAGCAAAAATGCTTTCAGAACAGACAGCATCCCTGGGGACAGGATGGGAGTCAATGAATGTCCAGATGGATGGAGCAGAGCCCCAGGTGGAAAGGAGAATCCAGGAAGAAGGGCCATGGAGAACAGCACCAGGGCCGCTGGAGCACCTGTGCTGTGACCTTGAAGAGGAGCCACAGTCCCTTCAGGAGAAGGGTGAGAGCCCAGAAGGGGTATGTGTGGGAAGCACAATGCAGAGAGTAGTCTCCGAATTGCTACTGAAAAAGCAGAGTCAAAAATCCTCAAATTGCGATGGACTGAACAGCAGTCAGTACCAGAACTAGGCCACAGAAATATAAGGAACTTCTGCGTCCTAGTCACAGAAATATAAGAAGCACCTGGATTCTGCAAACCATGTAACAGGGATCTCCTGTTTCTTGCATAATCACTCCCTCCACATGCTACGTGGTTAGTGGTAGTGAATATGTGAGACAAAGAAAATGACAGAAACACTGATTACTGTTGGAAAACACACCCCGTAAAATGCACTTTACAAGATGAAAATTACATTCAAATAATAGGAATTCAAACCACAGCTAGTCTAGCAGAGATAGATGATATAAAGATTCTACTAAAAACCACTCAATACCCTTACAGGACATTTTGAGGGAAGGTATCTTCTACTACATTTATACATTTGAGTCTTATCAATGGATATAGATATAGATACAGATATAGATAGGGCCCAGGCTCTAACTGGGAAAGGGTGGATGCTCCATCTCTAATGGGTCCTCTCTCCCCTCACCAGCTCAGTCAGCTCCCTGGGTTCCTGCCATTCCCCAGGAAGGGAGCACTGGAGATTGGGAGATGGCAGCTGCACTTCTTGCGGCAGGATCACAGGTAGGCTATGTTCTTCCCTTGGCCTCTCTAAGGGTCTCACCACTGCTGCCTTTCTGTAGCATTAGCATAATTCCATTGATTTGTCATTTCACATGACCACTAGTATGTTCATCTTATATGTGAACACATTTTATCCCTTTCCAAGGGGCTCATAATATCCTTTAAAAAATGAATGAGGGCATGACAAGAAGAAGGGAATTCCTAAAGGTTAGGTTGGGTTGTTCTTTTTTTTGTTATTTTTTTTAATGGATGGCTGTGCTACCCACAGGGCGAGTGTAAGAACAACTCATTAATGTCCTTTAAGAAATAAATCTGGAACGGTTGGGAAAAGAGGACCTGAAGAAAGCTTGGAAGAACATAAAGTTGTAGACAGGATTGGGTGGATGATGGAGCATTTATGGAAAAGAAGATAGAAAGATATAAAGAGGGGCAGAGCCAGAGAGAGAAAACAGGTTTAGATTCAGAAGGCAGAGCCATGGGAAGATAATAATAATAGTAGTTGTATCCATATTCCCAGAGTGCTTATCATGCATGCTGTTCACTGAGTGCTTTATGTAAAATTAACTCATTTAACCCTGAGAGAAACTCAAATTATCCCCATTTTACAGATGAGAAAATTGGACAGGAAGAGATTAGGGCACTTGTATAAGGTCATACTGCTAGTAAGAAGCAGGGCTAGGAGTCATTTGGGTCCAGAGTCTGGGCTCCTAACCACCAAACTATACTGCCTTAAAAGATAAGGATATGACCTATTAGGGGGAGGAGGCAAGAAAGAATGTTTTATCTACATTCATTTGTGCTGATAGGAAAGGAAATGTCAGGTGGAGGAAGGAAGAGCTAGTACGTAATTTCTGCAATGAAAAGAGTAAGGAAGATGAGAAGAGACTGGGCAGACACCTGTTACTAAACAGAGGTACTGATGAGTTTGTGGTGCTTCCAAATTATGGTCCTAACTTGGGAAACTCCTCTAGAAACATCATCCTCGATCATTCACTGACCACTATCTTTACCCCTTTCCTCATTTCCTCTTCACCAAAGCCATGTGCCCTGCCCAGAGACCTCTGGGCAGTTCTTCTAGATCCTCTTTTGCCTTCTCTCCTCTACTACTACTTCAGCCATTGATACTGAGATCACATTGTCCTTAAGGAACAGCTGCTGACAGATGATGCTGCATTTTGTTTCAGGGCCTGGTAACCATCAAGGATGTGTCACTGTGCTTCTCTCAGGAGGAGTGGCGGAGCCTGGACCCTTCTCAGACAGACTTTTACGGAGAATATGTCATGCAGGAAAACTGTGGGATAGTGGTCTCGCTAAGTAAGCATGACCTTCCCCAGCCACTAAATGCTTGTACTCTGGGAGGATGGAGCTATGCTGCTGGACAGTGTCTATTTAGTGTTCTTTTCTTGGCAGGGTATCTGTCTAGGCTTCCACGAGAGAAAGAGCACCAGGGCTAATCCAAAGAGAATGGAAGTGAGGTGTGAATCAAATAAATAAATAAATAAACAAATAAAATGATGCTGAATTGTAGGGAAGAGAACTTTAGGCTCTTCTTGGTTGGGAATTGGGAGGTTTTTTCAAAGCAGAGAGAAGGACATCTAAGAGACAGAACTGAGTCCTTGGAAACTCAGAAACTATGTAGGGGAAGATGGGAATGTTGCGGGTGAGACAGCCATAGTAGGGCTAATTAAGTGAAGTTATGACCAGAAAGGACAGTTGCATTGGAAGTATTTGAAATTTGAGTGGAAGAGAACATTCATTGGGAAGAGAGTATGATTTTCTGTAAGAAAGAGGGATTTAACAGAAATGAGATGGGGGAACAGGGAAAGGCTTGTATCTGGCCTTCTTAATCTAGAGTTCTAAAGAATAATCTAGGAAACAAGCTTTTTCAGAAATGAGAATTATAGTTGAACTAATTGACATCTCTGTTTTCCTTTCCCATGGGCAGGATTTCCAATTCCCAAACTGGATATGCTTTCTCAACTAGAAGGAGGGGAGGAACAATGGGTCCCTGACCCCCAGGACTTAGAAGACAGGGACATCCTGAGGGTCACATATACAGGTAATGACGTAGACTAGACTTTCAGCTATGGCCTTACCTACCCCTTTTTGGAGTTTCATCATTACATATTCCTCTAGTCCTTCCTCTGCCTCAGAGAGTTATAATGTTGACAGGTTTAGGGATCTTTTTCTTCAAAAGCAAGACAGTGTAACAGAATGGTTTAGAGGGCAGGCTCTGGAGCCGGACTTTGTGGATTTGAATCCAGGACTATACCTGTGGAAACTTGGAAATGTAATTAACCTCTTTTTGGGTTCTTCATCTATAAATTATTGTGAGATTGAAATATGTTACCATAGTAGATCAGTACCAGGAACATAGTAAGCACTCAATAAATGTTAGTTGTTTTGTTGTTCAACCTAACACCCATGGTGGAAATGCCTTCCACAAAGTTTCTAGTATTGCTGACAGGTGGTCACCCAGCCAGTGATGATTGCAGCACATTCTTTAACTCTCTCCATATATACTTAGGCAGGAAGATGGTGATTAACAATTTTTTTAAAGTGCTGAATAAATAATAGTAATAAATAACAACAGCATAGACCATTTACTAAGTGCTTACTATATGCAGGTACAATGCTATCTGTCTTATAACGTCTATCTTATAATTATTCCCATTTTACAGAAGAAATGAAGGCCTACAGAAGTTAAGTGGGAAAGCTGAGATTCAAAATTGGGTATCTGCCTCCTAAGCCTAGGCTTTTAACCTCTATACCTCTTGCACTGTCTTGTACACATTAAAACTCTGTTCTCTCAGCCTTTACGGGGTGAGTGAGATTTAGGCCCTAACAGGCATCATACAACCTCACCTGTGAGTTGGGTCCTAGGGTACTCTCTTGTGACTCCCCTCTTGGGGTCGGTATTTTCCCTTCTCCACAGGAGATGGAAGTGAGCATGAGGGGGATACCCCTGAACTAGAAGCAGAACCTCCCAGAATGTTATCTAGTGTGTCTGAAGATACTGTTCTCTGGAACCCAGAGCAGGATGAGAGCTGGGATTCCATCCCCAGGAGCTCCAGAGGAATGCTCCTGGGCCCACCTTTTCTTCAGGAAGATAGCTTCTCAAACCTTCTGTGTAGCACAGAAATGGATTCCCTGTTAAGACCGCACACGTGCCCCCAGTGTGGGAAACAGTTTGTGTGGGGCTCCCACCTTGCCAGGCACCAGCAAACACACACTGGGGAGAGGCCCTACAGCTGCCTCAAGTGTGAGAAGAGCTTTGGGCGAAGACATCACCTGATCCGACACCAGAAAACCCACCTACATGACAAGCCTAGCAGGTGCTCTGAGTGTGGCAAGAATTTCCGATGCAACTCCCATCTGGCCAGCCACCAGAGAGTGCATGCAGAAGGCAAATCCTGCAAGGGCCAAGAGGTTGGAGAGAGCCCGGGGGCTAGGAAACGGCAGCGCGCCCCACCAGTGCCAAAGTGCCACGTGTGCACAGAGTGTGGGAAGAGCTTTGGCCGACGGCACCACCTGGTGAGACACTGGCTGACCCATACTGGGGAGAAGCCCTTCCAGTGCCCTCGCTGTGAGAAGAGTTTCGGCCGTAAACATCACCTGGACAGGCACCTGCTGACCCACCAGGGACAGAGTCCCCGGAACAGCTGGGACAGAGGGACATCTGTCTTTTGAAATCTGTTTCTGCTGCAGCTGTGGTCACATCTGTCAGCTGGTGCTACCAGGAGTCTCTACCAGAGCTGCCCCTCTCCTACAGCCCAGTGGCCAGAATCATGAGCCCTGGCCCCATCCTTAGAAAGATGTGGTTCCACCATTGGCCAGAGCATTTCTCACCAGTTCTGTGAGATGTCACATGAAATAGAGTTCTTTGGGCAAAAACTTTTGGGAAACAGTGCTTCCTCCATGGGCTGATATTCAGCCTTAGCCCTCTCTCCAGGGTAGAGAAGAACCAGCAATTTGTGACTAAGGCCCATTCTGATTGGTTGGAGCCTCTGCCATATCCGTTGTTAAATATTTTGAGTATCAGTTTTGTATAACTATTCTCTTCTATATATGTAGAGAAAGACCATATGAACATATTAAAGGCTCTGAAAACATATGGAGTAGAGCAAATGGTTAAACCTCTTTTAATGCAGTGTTTCCTAAATTTATTTGACCTCAGTATCTTTTTCATCTCACATCCCACAGAACTGGTGACTCCATTAAACACACTGGTGAACACTGAGTTGAAGAGTAATGAGGAAGCAGGAAAGAGATAGTGATCAGGCACCCAGAGCCTCCTTTTTTAATCCAAATGAAAGCTGAGGAGCAGACCTCATTCCTGTGTGGGCCCATCACCTTTATCCTGATCATCTGAATATACATCCACACCTCTCAACTGACCTGCTGAAAAATAGAAACAATAACTTTCTCACCCCCTTATTCTTGCCCTCTTCACCCTGCATATACATATATCCAGCTGAGAGATCACACTACGAGTGCTAAGAGATGGACCTTATACTCTTAAATAACCCAGGCCCACACAGAAGAAAAATACTTTATCCCCTTGAACAGACCCTTCTCCTCTTGACCGTGTCTTTATGTGTCTATGTGTATCTGTGTGCAGGGTCTTTGAAGAGAGCATGCAAAGTGCAAACTGTATAAGCTAGATTTTCTAGGGGCTGTGTTCTGGGGATGCGGGTAGTGGGGATTGTATGGGGTTTTCTGTTTTGTTTCAAGATAGTAAGCTGAGTGATTAAGGGAGCCCTAGTGGAAAGAGTTCAGTTGTGGGTGTTGAGGTATAAAGCCTTCTCCAGTATCACTGAGATCAAGACAGCCATGGATATATACGTCTAGGTTTGAATCTCTGGGCCACAGATTCTTTTTGCCTGCGTAGAGAGAGAAAGAGACATCCTCAGTGAGGTGAGCTGTTTCTTGTTGATTTCAGACAAGGTGCATATAGAAGCTTTGTGCTGAGTGGGTTTTTTTTGTTCTTATTTTAAGTGCTGGGAAATTATGGCAGGAGTCACAGTGCTTGCAGGTTGTCATCACTCTTGTTTGACCTTGATTGCCTCATCAAGGGGGCATAGTTATTCTTGAGGACTTCATTCTCCTAGAAATAGAACTTTAGGGGAAATGGCTGTGGCTTAGCTTTTTGGCTGATGCAGGGTAGTGAGCTTTCCAGTTGATTTTCCTCCAGTTCTGAAAAGGTGTCTACACTAAGACTCTTAACTAAGAACTTGCACAAGTATTCTAGCACCCACTAGTTAATGAGTTGGTCATTGTTTCTCTTTATTGATGATGTGTTAATACCAATCTTATAATTTATAAATTATCTTGTATGTAAGAGCAGTTTGTGGGTAGGGAGGGAGAGGCACAGAGGATGGAAGTGGGATATTTTCTCTTTAATACTTAGATACTGGTTTTCTCTTAACACACTTATTTCTCAGCTACAGTTGGTGGAACTAACCAGAGAGGCAAGAGAAAGTGAGCTGCAACAATCTAGTTTAATGACTCTTCCATTTGCTTAGGAAAAACTGGGTTAATCATAGTTCCTCAGAGTCCTGGGCCCAAATGGAGCCGAAAATAAGGTCACTTTGCTGACTGGGCTTCTTAGAGTGGATATGACTTGAGCAATCTCGCCCCTACCTCCTTTCTGCTCTAAGCAGCATTCCTTCTTGCCTGGAATGCACTTCTCTTGCTTATGTTCCTATGAATAGAGCAAAATGGCCAGCCCTTTGTAAGGCATCCTTTGTCCTAGGTCCTAAGAGATAGAAGCATTTTAGTAGAAGGATCAGTAACAGGAGATGCCCTAGGGAAACTGGACCCCATTGGTAAAACTGGACTATATCATTTCTTTTACCTTCCCACTATGCCTCATTCATTAACACAAATCAGCTCTATGGGAGCAATGATTCAAAACCTGTTTTGGATCACAGACCCTTTTGAGAATCTGATGAAAACCAAAAACTCACTTTTGAGAAAAAAGATGTTAGTAATCATTCTATTTTGCATACACATTTAGCAGGTTCAGAGCCCATCCATGGAATCACTAAACTGAGGTCAAAGAAAGGGAGTTACCCTGACCCAGTATGGTCATTATATGTTTGTGACAAGAATTATAAGGCAAGGATCACTAAACATTATAAGGACTAAGATACCAGAGTCAGTAGGATATAGGATATAAAGAGAAAGTCTGGTCTTTAATGACTTGAAATGTATTACTTACATTCTACTCTATGTCTATATCTATATCTGTATCTATATAGATACATGACATGCTGACAAATTGGCTCCTCACAAACCTTGTTTTAAAGACCCATAGGAGGTGACTTTCCATACCATCAGATCTCACCTCTTAATAACCAAATGTTAACCTCCAGTCTTTGATTTCTTTTAGTAATTGTAAGGAGAGAAAGTGAAGCCCCCAAAGTGTAGATACAGTGATTGTACCCAACAGAAAGGCATTTTGGAATCCTAGGGCCTTCTACAGAAGGGGCATCTTTTAGGTCATTTCTGGTAAACCAGTGTCTTCTCTACCTTCATCCAGAACCAGTTCCCTTGGACGAAAAATAAAATAAGCAACAGCCATCAACTGGGTGAAGAGATTTGAGTGATTTTTTTCCCACAGAGAAACTCCCATCTTCCTCCCAACTCTCTCTGCCACATATCTACCCTATCCTATTCCATTTAAATAAAAAATGTCTCTGTGTTCTCTCTGGGAAAAATGTAAAGTAGGAAAGACCATCTTCAGGAACCTGTCAGCTTTTTCCATCTGTGGTGCCTCTACCTTGTTCAGAGCTCAAGTATCCTTGCTTTTTTACCCATCAGAGTATCTCTGCAAAGAATTCCTTACAATGGACAATGTAACCCAAAGGGTTAGCTTTTCCCAGAGCGACTTACATTTTAAGCTGTAGCTCTGAGAGTGGAAGTGGAAGGAAAAGATTTCCCTTGTTAAAGTGATGTTATGTCTTCAGGGTTCAATCTGGGACAAAATCCTTTCCTTTTCCAGAACTTCTACAATCAAACCACTATTTCCTATTTCCATAAAGGGTAAAGTGAGCCCTGACACAGAACCAGAGGTGCCAGAAGATAGGTTCTTTCCATCTGTCTACAGATGGGTGTACTGGGTGGGGATGAGTGGGGATGAGCAACAACAAAAAAGTGAAATCTATTCCCTTAGCTCCCTTAGATCCCCTGAGCTGGCAAAGTTTACTTCTATTCCTTGGAGTGCTATACTAGGCCATGGGTATCAAAATGCAGTCTTTGGACCAGCAGCATCAACATCACCTAGGAACTTGTCTTAAAAATGCAAATTCTTACCCCAGACCAAATTAATCAGAACCTCTGAGGCTGGAACCCAACATTCAGTCTTTTAACATGCCTTCCAGGATATTTGATGTAGGCTAAAGTTTGAGAACCACTGGCTAAGAGATTCAAATTCCATTTCAATCAGTGGTCTCTCGCCCTGTTCAAATAGGGAGAGATGGAATCTTCACACTTCTGTTCTCAAAGATTTATTTTCTGCAAACTCCCTAGGCTAGTTGCTCCTCAGTTCTGTTCCTCTTGAGTCCCAAGGTTTTTCCTCACCCTCAAGTCAGTGAAGGAACTGAGTTAGTCACAAATTTCTGAAACTGGTGGGGTAACTACCAAGCTATTGTAACTGGTTGGGGCTGGAGCTTCTAAAATGGGCACTGAGGATTTATGGGTTCAGAAATCTGAAGAGATAAAAAGGAACAGATACCTCAAAGAGGGTAAATGCAATGTAAAACTGAGAAACGGACATGCAAAGAAATGGTCCCCCTTTGCTAGTCCTTTTTCAGGCTTAATAAGTTGCCCTGGAGGCACATGGGGTGGGCATTCAGGTAGAGAGAAAGGCCAGCTGTCCCAAGCTGTTAAGGACCCAAGTTTTCTTACCTCACAATTGCACTGGAGACCAATGAGATGCCATGCAAGGGATTTCTAACCATGCTTTGGCCTACCATGTGGACAAGGGCAGCAGGAGGATCAGAGAGCCCCGAGGACATAAGAGGAAACCAGGCTCATTTTAGTAAGATATGACACAAGCAAGATTTGAACCCAGACTCTGTTTAGTAGGTAGAGGTTGTAACCAATTAAGCCATTGTGCCTATGTCAAAAATACATTCTACTGCTTTGAAGATTCTGTCCAATTTAGGCTACAGGAAGGGATCTGTCTTGCAGGCCTCTGTTACCTCTTCCACCTCCTCTCCTAGGCATACCCATGAGGACTGATGAACTGACAGTTGCCAACCTGCGACCTCTGTGGGGCTCTGGGTCAAAAGGTTAGAGTGCAAAACTCTAGGGAAGGGGATCAGCCCCTGTCCCCTAAGGCAGAAAACCTTGGCTACTGCTTTCTTCAACCCCAGGCCTCCAGCTCTCTCCCTCTCTCCTTTCCTGTCACTGCCTCCATTTGCCTAATAAGCAGAGCTCTTCCTCCACTCTTTGCTCCTACTTCTCTTTTTCAGTTGGTTTTGTTTTGTTTTGTTTTGCCTGCAGAATGCCACACCTTCCCAAGGGTATTTGTTCTACCCAATCTCTATCCTTCTTCCTTCGTAGTTTCTCTCTTCAAGCCTCTAGCCAGTTGCATTCCATCATGAGCCCACTGCCTACTTTAGCCACTAAGCAGGGTCCATTCCTCGTACTTCCCACTTTCTTCCCTCAGATTCTTGGCTTGGCTATATTAGCTCAGCTGCCGTCTCCCCACTCTACCTCTCTCTCTCATACATACCTCCCCATATCCGAACTTGGCCAGGGTTGCCTGTACTGCCAAATCCAGGCCCTTTACTCCATTCCCTACAGACGCTTCTTCCCTTGATGTAGCTTCCAAAATGGCTTTCTACTTTTTGCGATTTTGATTTACTCATTCCCTTCCTAGCTCTTCCTGAGAATCAGTTTTAATTTGACGAGCCATTTTTTGTGTGCCTCCTATGTGCTGGGCATTGGCTGTTGAAGGCATGAGAGATCAAGTACGACTGCCGTCCCCATACTCAGTATGTTCCTCAGCCGACCCCGCCACTGCCACCACTTTCCTGCCACACCTCATGACACTGTGTGCCAAGGCACCCTCTTATGGAGGCTTTGGGTATGCGTACCCACTTGCCATCCAGCCCAACTGCCCCTGTGCTTGCCAGATTTCTAGCTATTGTCTGAGTTGCTTCCCTCTAAGCACTGTGACCTGCCCACAGGTTACCCAATGAGGACTTACATCTGTATCCTTAAGGATCTATAATATGCTCTTATGGTCCCTGTCAGTTGAATAAAGGATGTATTGGCTGTGTCACTGATTTCCTCTGTCCTCTATTCTCTCCATTCTCAGCTCTTCTCTTCTGATAAAGGGGCTGCAACAGAGTGGGGAACACCGGACAGCTCCAGGGCAGTCATGCAGCAATGCAGGAGTCCCCTTGCCGCCCCTCCCAAAACATAGACCTTAAGACACCACAAGTTAGGACTTCCCATATCCTCCTGGAATCTTCGCTCCCAGAAGTCACTCCCTAGTCAGCTGGGGATGTAATTCATTCTGGAGACTGGAAGATGTAGAATGCTGAGCAGGCCCAGCCAAGGGTGAGGTGAGTGAGGGCCTAGGGTACAAATTTAAGGAGACCTTACAACTCAGCATTGTTTTAAGTGCCAACCCACCCTTGCAAGACCTTTAGGGTGCTATGCCTGAGGTGGTGGTGGTGGTGACTGAATTGATTCCCTAAGGCAAACTGGCAGTAATTGGAAGTATGGGGGGTAGCCACAGAAGACCTGCATAAATGGGGTTAGACAGGAACTGGGTCCAACAGACACATTCAACTTTGAAGATGAAGAGGATCGCCATCTGGTAGAGGGTATCAAGAGGATAGGGTAAGAAATAGTGTGGAAGAAAACATGGAAAGCTGGTATGGGGGAACCACCAGCCTGTGACCCACTAATTGGCCTCTTGCCCATAGAGGTTTGCTGGGATGGGGAGAGGGAACTTCTTTACAGGCACTGGGTGCAGCCCAAAGACTTTGCTCTCCTCCCGGGGAGCTGCATTAAAGAGCTTCCATCCTACTGCTTAGGGGGTGATCTGAAAGCCTCTGCAGCTTTCTGAATGCCAGCCAGGCCGTTTTGCCACCTGCCTCCGTGCTTCATGTGTTTCCCTATTTTCTTGCATTTACTCCTACTTCCCCGCCAGTCACCTGGAGTAAAACTTTTGACAAGTCTGGTCTTCCCCCTAATGAAAAGGGGAGGAGGAAGGAATTGACAAAAGGGGGGAGAGAAAGAGCTTTGATTGTTCTTTGAAGGGCCTGTTCTCTCAGCCAGCTCCAGTGGACTACTGAAATCCTCACTTCCTCCTTATTCTCCTACCAATGTCTTTCCCAAATTGACTGAACTCATGCTGAGTCTTCAGTTTCTCTCTTCCAAATCCTTTGGCTTTTTTTTTTAAAAGTCATTTCCAGACATGATGTCTCTGTATTAATTCCCCAAATGACCTGTTCTCCCATCCTTGCTAGGCACTTAGGTTTTGGCTAGAGTGCTCCGCAGCCTGACCAGACAGCTTTGTCATGTTAGAGGCCCCCAGAGAAGGAAGAATAGGAGAAACCTACTGTTTTGAGACCACTGACAAATGGAGATGTTTGCATGTTCTGCAAACACACTCCCCCTCAATGTGTTTGAGAACACCTTCCCCTACAAGAAACCTCTGAGTTATTAAAACACTTAAGTGTATAAGTTCTAAACTTCTGACCTTTCCCTATGTAAAAAAGATGTTTTGTAGAGGTAATGAGTAGATGGTGAGGCCCCATTCAACATCTCTAATTGTAGTGAAGAGAGCGCTGGATTTGCAGTTAAAAGTCAATTTCTAAATTGTACATATTCTAAACATTAGCTTTTTCTCTTAAAAGCTAAGAGATTGAGGTGAAGTAAAATAATGCACAGGGAAGTATAAACCACCTTATAAATGAAAAAAACTATAATTGACAATTACACAGAAATTTCTACCTCATTTTTGAAGAAGATACAATTTATATGATTCTGAAGACAAATACAAAAAAAAGACACAAGTGGTGTCCTCTACAATTCTTATCACCTTCCCCTCACAATACAGAACCACTTATATTTTTGTGTGCATCCTTCCAGAGTTTATACAATTACAGAGATATATTTTTCTTCATTTTACACAAAAGGTCATTTGGTATACTCAATGTCTTTCTTTTTTTTTTTCACTTAATCTTGGGGAGTTTGTCATAACAATACATAGAGAATCTCCCTCTTTTTATAGCTGCATGCTGTTTCACTGTAGGGAAGCCTCACAGTTTAACCAATCCCCTAGTGATATAGATTATTTCTTTTTTTGTTTTGTTTTGTTACCGTAATGGTGCTTAAATATCTTAGACGTAAGTCTTTTCACAAATGCATTAATATATAAAAGGTAAGTATATAAAAGTGGTTCTGTTGGATCAAAGGATATTTGCATTTGTAATTTTGAAAGCCAAATTCCCTCCACTAGGATCGTGAAGATTTACACTCCCACTAGCATTGTGAGTGCCTGTCTCGCCACAGCCTCACCAATGGAATAGATTTTCAAACATTTTGGATTCATTAAAAATGCTATCTTATTGTTTTAATGTGCATTTCTCTTATGAGTAAAATTACACTTTTTTCATATTTTTAAAGGCCATGTGTATTTCTGTTTTCTCAACAACCACTGAATATTTGATGCTAGAGGACATCTAAGGTTCGTTACAATGCTTAAGTCCAACAATTTTCTGATCATCATTGCACTAGGCAGTTGAGATAAAAGGAAAACAAAGAACTGATGTCAGGGATGTTCCATTTGCTCTGACTAAAGTTAAATACTCAAATACACCACTAGAATGTAAGTACTGAAAAGTGGGGATTATGTTTTATCCATCTTTATTCCCAGCAAAGGGTTCAGAATCTTGCAGGCACTTAGTTATTAGCTAACACTAGGGATGAGATTAGCTATTCTTGGGAATTTCTTCCGCATAAGTACCCAGTTAGCATTATGATCTGGATAATCTGGATAGCATAATACCTATGAGTTAAGGTCATTTCTTATGTTTCATCAGAGTACAAACACCCTAAAGCTCATCAATGAAAAATAATCTGAAATGATCATTGTTAACTATGTAAGTTCAGGGTCTGGTACTTATACTTTAGTTTCCTGAGTGAATGAAGTTTGCTTAAATGAAGAACTCATTATAATACAAGCAGAAGCTTGATGGTTCTTAGGAAATCTAGAAAACAAATTGTTACCAGTGTCCTTTCCATTCTAAATTAGGGGAAAAAGCTTTCTAATTCTAGACCATCTAGTTCTTCAGGTAAAAACATCGTGGGACTATAAAGGGGCAATATATCTGGCTATCATAAGGGCATTTGATTAACTTTGTTCTGATTGTGTTCAATAGACAATGTTTCTAGTTGCCTATCTTAAGATGGCTATTTTCTGATTGTTTGCCTCATTCTGCCACTCTCAGACAATTCAAGTGCACAGTAAACCTAATTACATCAGGGGGAGATTTCAAAGTTCAAATCATCTATAGATGAGATACACTGCAAGCATTCTGCTGTTACTAAGCATAAGCTTAAAGCAGAGATTCTCACTTAAGGGTGTGAGAGTGAATATTAGCATCACTTAAGTTTGTTTTAAATACATATCCCATTCCCCCTTGTAGAAGATATCAGACTCTCCTGAGAAAAGCTTGGTCTAGTATACGCTGAAAAAGCTCCCAGGTTATTCTTATACCTCCCCACCTCTCACCTGCACTCACTTCTTTTCAAAAATAAAAAGCACCTCCCAGGTGCTTTCCTTTTCCCTACTCCTCCTGCTTCAGCTGGAAACAGTAAGTTATTTCTCTGAATCAACTACGCTGATGTTTACTTTCCTAGGAACCATTTCTGTGTCTTGCCATGGCCTATGGCATGAGAGCTATTGTCACACCCCTGCTTGCCGAACTGAAAGAAATCATACATTTACTCCATATTTGGTATATAGTGCTTAATAGATAGTTTTTTTTAACAACAACAAAAGACCTAGCTATTCATTATTTAACATTTCCCATCTTGTATTTCTGAAAATGCATTCTGTAAATCTTAATAGTTTCCTCACTAGGAGCTAGTACTTTCCCAGTTGATAATTCCCTTAATGAATTTTGTCAATCAAAGCATATACCATAAGTTTAAGTCCCTCTTATCATTTTGCTGACACTTAAAATCATCTAAAATAATCCTCATCCAATTCTAATTTTTTTTTTTAAACAGAGAAGGAAACCAAGACCAGGAATGGTTAAGTAAATAACTCAACTAAGGTCAGAGTGGCAGAACTTTGACTATAGAATCCTGGTTTTATTAAGCAGTGATCCAGTATAGTTCTCCACTGAAGCACATTATCATTCCATCATGGCATTATTTATACTCGTTTTTAACTCTCAGTGATAAGCACCTACTGTGTGTCAAGCCCTGTGCTAGATGTTTTCACACACACACACAGTCATTTAACTGAAGATTAACATATAAGGCGTATTTTCTAAGTTAAAATAATTATCAAATAAGGGCAAAAACTACAAACCTATTACAATCAATCTTGGAAGAAGGGACTTTTTCCTAAAAGGAATTTCAGGTAAGAACATGTTGGAGCAGTGGGACCACTGAACCTAAAGGCTGTCTATTCTTCTCATCCCAGTGATGCCCCCACTTCTCTCCTTACATGCCCTTCTCCCCAAAACTCATTTTGGATTTGCTAGGGTGTCTAACATTAATTCAACACTTTGCCTAACCCCATCAAGTTGCTGGCTTTCTTCTACCTATTTTCTTTCTTTCTGAGAGGCATTTTCCTGGCTTCTGAAGCAAGAACAGAATCTCAACACCGTTTTCTCGTTTCACTTCCACATGCTTCTGCTACAGGTCTTACCTCAACACCCACCCCTTCCCTTCTACATTCTGCAAAGAGGAAACAGACACAATGTGGTGGAAAAGTCTTGTAAATAGTTTTGCCCATTTCAATGAGTGTGGAGCTGCTCTCATTGGAGCTTATGGGGAAAGGCATCAGTGCCTGGAGGAAGGAAGGTTGTTCCCACTCTATGGATTCCGGGCTGCATTCCGAAGACCTTCAGATTTAGTGGAAGTCTTTGTGCGAGCAGCCCTTGGGTCATGGGTCTTCTCCTGCCCATTCGAAGTCCGGTCAGTTTTAACCGAGGTTGACTTCTGGATGGTCCGTTTTACCGGCTTCTCTGGGTCCTGCTTCTTCTCTTCCCTGAGCTTCGAGCTTGGCCTCTTTTCTTGAGTCCGAGGCCTGATGTCTTCCTTCTTGGTCCGTCCTCTCCTCTCATCCACCTCCTTGGCCCTCCCTTCCTCCTTAGCTCTGGAACCCACCGGGTCCTTGGCCCTTGGCCTTATTCTCCTCACCTTCGAGTTCGCCCTCGAGCTCCGTCTCCACACTTCCCTGGCCTTCCTGGCGGCCCTGCGACGCGGACAGCGCCTGCGTGGCCTCCGCGTCCTGGGAGGGGCCCTCCTTGGAGAGCGGACACTCTCCTCCAACCTCGGGCGTCCCGGCTTTCTCTTCGGTTTTGGAACCTTCCAGACCCTGAAATAGCCGGCGGCGTTGCTGCCGCTGACCCGGAGGAGGGTGCCCTTCACATCAGACCTGGACGCTTCGCCGGAGCGGCGGCCGCACTTCCTGCGCACTTCGTAGCCAGCATTTCCAAGCTCCTTCTTGAGGGTGGCCAGGGTCAGCCCTTTGTGTGCAGCAATGGCTCGGAGCAACAGCTGGGACACTTTGAGCACGGAGCGCCGGCCCCGCCTCGGCGGGCCCCCGAGGGTTCTTTCCATGGGCTGCTGGGTTTTAACTTCAGCACCCTGGGATTCGCTCGTGGACTCGGCCCGCTCATCCATGGCCCCGCTCCCGCTCCCGCGGGGCCACTGGCTTTAGACCTCTCTGACCAAGGGTGAGTTATGGCTGAGGCCAGGCCACGTCACAAAGGCAGGTCCTGGTAAGAGGGCAACAGACCCCACCCAGCTAGAGGCATTTCTTACTTTTAACAACCAATCAGATGCCACTTCCTTCTAGGTCTAAACCAATCCGAGTTTTCAGAGCCTATGCATTCTATAAAGAATCATCTTTATAATCTCCAGGATTTCGTTTCCCTCTCACACTTCTCATTGATCTTGATCTCGACCGCTTTTGGAAGTTCACTATTTTTCTGTGGTCCTGCAGGCCATCTACCTGTATTCCCCTAAAGTGAGGGAAACTGCTCCCAACCATCCACCAGTAATACACTGCCTTTAAAAAGTAAATATGGTAGTCTGTAATACACAACTTGGCCTAGAAACTCCCACTTTTAAGTCCCACCAGATAGGTATCTGCAGTCACGTCTCCCTGGCTCTCTGCATGGTGGATTTTGTGCAAGTACAAAGAAAAACCACTGTGGTCCATCAACACTAAACATAATTCCCACGCCTGGGAAGTTCTGATGTCTCATTCAGTTGGATTGGAACAATTCAGATTCCAAATATCTTAAGAACACTGGTCTAATCATTATTCTTTAAACAGACTTTGTGCTTTTCTACTTCTTGTCCTCTTCTTGTCACATCCCCTTTCTCTGTCTTGATAAATCCTGTGCATCTTTCAGAGTCCTGCTAAGTGCTTTCTTCACTGAGGCTTCCTCAGACTCTTTCGAACAATTTCTCCTATTAACTACCACAATTACTTCTGCAATCCTATACTGCTTTTTCTTTAAGTTAATTTGGTATTAGGGGGCATACAATGTGGCACAATATTTTAAAAAAGAAAAAAACCTGGACCTGGAAGACATGGATACATACCCTAGCTTTTAACAGCCATATGACATTAATAATCACAACATTTAAAAATCTGATTTCTTTGTCTTAAAAAAAAGGCTTAATAATCCCTTCCTACTAATATCACAGAACTGTTGCAAAGGTTCAGAAGAGGTGATGGTAGATGACAAAGGACTACTCAAATATAAGGCATAAAATAGCATAAAGTTAATAGCACTCTGAATGTTTATGACTTTTCAATGATATAAAACGGTCAGACAGTCTTTGAATTTCTATGCCCCATGCAGTACCTAATTCTATCCTTCATTATATATTGCAAGCATTGGATTGAGTCTGCTTAAGCTCCTCACTGGTGAGGAGGCTTTCTCTAGATTAGAAGGAAACTCCCAGAAAGTCAGGAGAAAGGTGCAGAATGAATTTCAAAGGGCTGGAAATGAAGGCAACCAAGGAAGCTAGTTTCTCAAAGACCTCTAATTTTGGACAAAGTTTAGTTGGGAATAATTCAAATAATTATTCAAAGAATACCTCCAACTGTAAAGTATATCATACTTTTCCAGAGGACATTCACATATAATCAGCAGTCACAGGCTTGACTGTGGCATAGTTTCTTCCAGGAATCAATGTTCTAGGAAGCTGCTTAGACTAGTGCTTCTTAAACTTTAATGGGCACTCATAAAGTGCAAATTCCAATACATTAGATTTGGGATGGGTTCAGAGGTCTTATCTTTCCAACAAGCTCCCAGGTAGTTCCTGGTTAAAACACAAGTGTTGGCGGGTAGGGAAAAGTAGACAACAAGAAGGGAAGCGGCAGGATAAGACTGGAAAGGTGAGTTAGGGCCAAGGTGTGAAGGATGGATACTATAATAATGACACAGATGTCAGTGGTCACACAGTAGTCAGTAGTAGAGTATGGACTCAAACCTAAGTCTACTTAATTCTAAGGCCTGAGTTCTTAACTGCTATGCTAGGTTTCCTTTTCTCTAAGGTTGACCCTCCCCGTCCCCTTATATATCTCCATTATAGAGCAGAGGGAAGTTTATCTCTATGATCACAGCTCAGAGTTAAGAGTATCTATGAGCACTTACTGTATCTTCGCCCAATCTTTAAATCAAGACAGAGTACTGTGACCCTGAGGATCTCCAAGGGCCAGGGCTAACAAGTCAGCACACAGACAGTGCACCAAGGAAGAGTTGCCAGACGGAGAAGCAGAACCATATGGTGCTGGATTTCTCCCATTTGTGTAGTCTTTCGGTCTGACTATATTTCTTGGTTGCATAGGCCAGTGGCCACAGCATGGGGCAACCACCAGAGAAAAAAGGAGACAAAAGATTGTCATTCTAAGTGAAGTGGGCCAGAAAGAGAAAGAAAAATGCCATAAGACTTCATTTATATGAGGAATCTAAAAAATAATAACAATAATAAGGATGCAAATGAACTAATTATTATTTTGATGTCTTGAATATGTGTAAGCACATTTGACTGTCCTTTATGATTGGATTATCATTCTGTTAATTCTTACTTTGTAGTTGGCTTTATTCCTTTGATAACTACGTAAGTTTAAAAAGCTAAAGATCTAATCTGTTCTTAGAAACAATAATTAGTACAAATATGTATATTCAAAAATGTGCAGTATACTGTATATATGTATTTACATGCAATATAATGTGTATGTGCAAACTGCAATAATTCTACATAATAAAACTGAAAAAGAAAAAAAATAATTCTTTTTACAAAAAAAAAAATTATCCAGAAGAGAGTAAAATCTCATATATAAGAATCCTAAAATATGACTTTTTGGAAGAAAAGGACCAGACTAGAGGGAAAGTGCCTAGTTTGTTGACAACTGTTATTTTGGCATATTACAAACTTTCAGATATAGCAGCTCCTTCTTCCTAATCTACAAGTAGCTTTTATCTAGCCTTTCTTCATATGTTTCTCACCTGGGTCTTTCTTCAGGAATTCGTTGCCTTAATTAAGATCCTTAAGATACAGATACCAAGTCTCTTTGTGCTTGTAGTTGGATAAGATTGAAGAGGGCACTGAGTCCTAAAAAATTGAAACAATATGTTAGATTAATTCTGTCCTGTCTGCAGCCTCTGAACCCCAACAGTTATTTTTCTTTCCAAATAATATTTATATACTGTTTTTCTGATTCATTAATGTAGGTGCATTGTAAAGAATGTAGAAAATACAAAAAGTGCTACATACAAAAAATAACTAAATACATAAACTGTGAGTATTCCTAAAGGAGCCTTAAAAATGTAAGCACCTACTCTGAAGAAATTAGGGTAGCCTTTTTTTTCTTTCAGTAAGAGAAAAATTAAAGGTAGGGCAAGAATGCCCAGATAAGTAAGACTCCAAGGAGGACTGCTCCTCCAGTGGTCACAAAAAAGAAGGGGTTTCGAACCATAAAAGAAATTATCCCAAAGAAAATGGAATGGGCAACACTTCTCCTGCTTATTCTGCCCTCTCTCTGTTCACTTTACCTGCATTGATCACGAAACGGATCTCCATCTGCCTCTTCCATTCCTGGAAAAACCTTTATCTTCAGAAAAACCTCCACTACCACGTCTTCTAAAAACTGTTTTCAAAAATTTTTAATTTTTCCCAACCCCAGAAGTGAGGGCTCACAACGGGAAGACTTGTGAGTAATGCAGGCAGCAGGCCAACTACGGAGGTTGAGGGGCCCTCAGGAGGCCAGAGGAGTCCACATTAAAATTATGGTTTCCAGGGACTCTCCATTAGGGAGAGGGCAGAGCCTCCCAAAGCTGCCATGCCCACAGAGGAAGGTAACTCACGTGCCTTAAGGGCCAGGAAACCACACACCCAGTAACAGTTAAATCCAGTAAGTAGTGCACTGCTTCATCTAAGAGGAAAAACGAAACAAAAAGCACCTCGAACTCTCTTCCCAGGAGCCCCGCGGCGGGGGAAGCAAACGTTGGCCAATGAGGGCAGCTTTCCCTGGCCCCGCCCCTGCGGCGTTCCCGCCTTTTGCCTCCGGCGGGAGGGAAGAGGTTTCTTAAGCCCCGCACACGCGTTGTCAAGGGAAGGTAACTGCTCGCAAAAAGCACGTGCTGCGAGGGACACAGGGAGCCAAAAAAGACAAATAGTTAAGGGGCGAAAAGTGTCTATTAGGGTGAGGTCAAAGAGCGAAAAGAACACTGAGAACGAAGGTTATTTCTGCCAAGCTGGGGAGAGCAACACGCTGGCCGAGTGGAAGGCTGAGGAGATTCCTGAGGTGAGAAAGAGCTGCTTATCAAAGGTCTAAGCTGGACGGAGAACAGAAAACAAGGCGTTTAGTCAGAATGAATGGCATGGGCAGAGCCACAAGACATCCATTCTCCAGCGTGTACAGATTTCTGAAGGGTTAACGAAAAATACCCTTTCTCTTCCTGTGTTTCCTCTGTCTTTTGACTTTCTTTCCCGCTACAGGTTCTCCATTTAAGCGTGCTTGTAGTGGCCTTGAGCACTCAGGCTTTCTCTTTAACCTCATTCCCCTGCCCATCAGCAAGTTTTTGACTAGCCATGTTATTAAAATTAACTCCCAGTATTACTGCTAGTTTATGCAAGGATGTGGAGAAAATGGAACCCACATGCACAGTTGGTGGGAATGTAAATTGGTGCAGCCAAAATGTGTAAATGATAAAGGTAACAAGATACTTGTAAATATAAATATCCTCAGAAGAGTTTCAGTTTTTGTTTTTGTGATGGTGGGAACTAATTCTCAGACTTTGGCTATGGATATCAGAATCACTCAAAGGACTTGTTTGAAAAACACATTGCTGGGTCCTACTCCAAATTTCTGATTTAATAGGTTTAGGATACGGCCCAAGAATTTACATTTTATTTGTTTTTGTATAATTAACATATAGCATTATATTAGTTTCAGGTGTACAACATAATGATTTGACATTTGTATAGATTGCAAAATGGTCACACAAAGTCTAGTTGCCATCTGTCACCATATATAGTTAAACATTTTTTTTCTTATGAGGACCTTTAAGATCTACTCTTCTAGCAACTTTCAAATATGCAGTACAGTACTATTAACTCTAGTCACCATGCTGTGCATTACATCCCCATGACTTATTTATTTTATAACTTGAAATTGGGGAAATTTGGACCTTTTGACCCCCTTCATTTATTTCACCCTCCCCTCCCCTCCACTTCTGGCAACCACCAGTCTGTTCTCTGTATCTATGAGCTTGCACTTTTTTTTTTAATATTCCACAGATAAGTGAGATCATATGGTGTTTCTCTTTCTGACTTATTTCACTTAGCATAATACCCTCCATGTCCATCCATGTTGTTACAAATGTCTAGATTTCATTCT